AATTCTATGGAATCTTGGATCAGAATGTTTAGTAATGGGAGCCAAGTTACCTCAGCTCTTCTGTCTCATGGCAAAGAAGAAAGTGGCTCATGAAGAAAATTAGTCACATGTTACTGACTCTCCTTCTTCCTCTCATGGTTCAGGTGCATAGAGAACAATTGTTGTGCCCTAGATGACTGCTTGCAAGCTTCTAAGACCCCAGGCACCACATGACAATCTAGGAGGTAGAACAGAAACCCTAAACACATTAGACTAACTGGGATGTCTTATGATCATGACCTCAAACCTCCAAACCACAAAGCCCACATGGAAGAAGCACACCAGCCTGTGCGATCACGAGGTGTTGAAGGGACCAGGTATCAGGCATCAGCAGAACAAAAAGTCATATAATTGTGAATGAGTGGGGGAGTGCGGAGTGGAGACCCAAAGCCCATTTGTAGGCCACTGGACATCCCGTTACAGAAGAGTCTCAGGGAGGAGATGAGTCAGTCAGGGTGCGATGCAGCAACGATGAAAAATACAACTTTTCTCTAGTTCCTACATGCTTCCTCCTCCCCCACTATCATGATCCCAATTCTACCTTACAAACCTGGCTAGACCAGAGGATGTACGCTGGTACAGATAGGAACTGAAAACACAGAGAATCCAGGGCGGATGATCCCTTCAGGACTAGTGGTGTGAATGGCGATGCTGGGAGGGTGGAGGGAGAGTGGGTTGGAAGGGGGGAGCCAATTACAAGCCAATCTGCATGTGACCTCCTCCCTGGGGGACGGACAACCAAAAAGTGGGTGAAGGGAGACGTCAGACAGGGCAAGATATGACAAAATAATAATTTATAAATTATCAAGGGCTCATGATGGAGGGGGCCGCGGGGAGGGAGGGGGAAAAATGAGGACCTGATGCTGGGGGCTTAAGTGGAGAGCAAATGTTTTGAGAATAACAAGGGCAGTGAATGTACAAATGTATTTACACAATTGATGTGTGTATGGATTGTGATAAGAGTTGTATGAGCTTCTAATAAAATGATAAAAAAAACAACAACAAAAAAACCCCCTCCAAACCAAGGAAGCAAATCCCATGAAGTACTTGTACATAAGTAGCCTCTGCAGCTACTTGTGTGTGTGTGATTGTTGTAAATATATCCATCATAACTCTTCTTTCCATTAAATTTCTTTCAGTTTATTGACATATAATTCACATAATCACATAGTTCAATGGTTTCAACATATTCAAAGAGCTATGCAACCATCACTACAATCACACAATTTTTTAAAATGACATTTTATTGTGAATTGGGTGAAGGTAAGAGATTAGTTTCCCCATCAACAACGGACACGTATTCTATGTCATGGCATTGGTTGCAATCCCTGCAATGTTACATAGCTTGTTCTGCTTTATCCCGTGCTTCCTGTTTCCATTCCTGTTTTTTACCCGGGTCAGTGCTGCCCATGACTGATGATTCTACGGTGTGTTTACCTCACTAGTGTTGTTTCCGTATTGCTGTGGCTGTAAGGTGCTCTTGAGTTGACTCCAAACCATAGCGACTGGATGCACAACAGAACGAAATACTGCCCTGTCCCGGACCATCCTCACAACTGTCCTGATGGCTGGGCCCCTTGTTGAAGCCACTGTGTCAACCCATCTCCTTGAGGGTCTTCCTCTCCTTTACTCTCCCTCGACCCTACCTAACATGATGTCCTTCTCCAGGGACTGGTCTCTGTTGACAACATGTCCAAAATATGTAAGACAAGACCTCACCATCCTTGCCTCTAAGGAGCACTCTGGCTGTACTTCTTCCAAGACAGATTGGTTTGTCCTATTGGCAGTCCATGGTACTTTTAATATCCTTCTGAAGCACCACAATTCAAATGCATCAATTCTTCTTATGTCTTTTTTACACATTGTCAAACTTTCACATGCATATGAGGCAATGGAAAATACCATGGCATGGGTCAGGCAAACCTTAGACCTCAAACTGACATCCTTGCTCTTCAATACCCTGAAGAGGTCTTGTGCAGATTTACCCAATGCAACACACCTTTTGATCTCTTGATTGCTGTTTCCATGAGCACTGATTGTGGATCCAAACAAGATGAATCTTTTATCCATTTATCATGATGTTGCCCATTGGTCCAATTGTAAAGATTCTTAATTTCTTTACATTGAGCTACAATCCATAATGAAGACTGCAATCCTTGATCTTCATCAGCAAATGCTTCTAGTCCTCCCCACTTTCAGCAAGCAAAACTGTGTCATCGGCATGTCTCAGGTGGTTAATAAGCATGTGTGCCCCGAGGGGGGGAGAGAGACCCTCATCCTCCACCTGTCTGACTAAGAGCAGAGTAAGAGAGAGCAGAGGCCAGAGATTGAGAGGGCAAGAGAGCATCCCAGAGTGTGCTCCCTGCCTTTATTCTAGCCCACCCCCTGGCTGGGGGAAGTTGTGGTTGAAGGTATTGGGTGTGGTTGAAGGTATTAACGTGGCCCTCATTGGCCAAGTTAAGCCCACCTGGGTGATATCATGAGTCTGGGCCTAGTTTGGCCTACCCAGGTGTACCTCCCACCTGGCTCGGGGCTTGAGTATGAACATGCTCAGTTTGGGGTCTTCATAGGTGTCTAATGGTTGCCTGATTTCTTTCCAACCTCCTCTGTGGGGGCCTTTGCAGGCATGGGAGGGACAATCCCCTGTCCCCTGCTACAGAAGCAGCAGTCAAGAGATCAAAAGATGCCTTTCATTGGGTACATCTGCTATACAAGACCTCTTTTAAAGTGTTGAAAAGCAAAGATGTTACTTTGAGGACTAAAGTGTACCTGCCCCAAGCCATGGTACTTTCATTTTCTTAAATGCATGTGAAAGTTGGACATTGGATAAAGAAGACAAAATAAGAATTGATGCATTCGAACGATAGTGCTGGTGAAGAATATTGAAAGTATTATGGACCGCCAGAAGAACAAACAAGTCTTGGAAGAAGTACAACCAGAATGTTCCTCAGAGACAGATAGATGTCTTACATACTTTGGACATGATGTCGAGGCTGAAGCTGGCTCGACATAAGGAACGCCATTTTAAAATTGTTTAAAACTCCTCCTGACCCCACCCCCGCCTATGTTCTCAGAATGTACTGTGTGATCAGAATGTCCTTCACAATCTTGATTGTTCCCGGATGTGCCCCACTCAGTTCTGGAAACGGATGCTTGCTTTGGCTTCTGTAACTCACTTGCACAGCCGTGTAGAAGTAACCCAGACCTACCACTTGGTCATCCGGGCTGTGGTGTTCACCTTGATAAGCTCACCCGTTGCCATGGTGAGGGGCTGCTGGGGTTTGAGAGACGTTTGGTCCTCCCACAGCCACTGGCGCTGGCTAATAAACACTCTAAATGGGAACTTTGAGGGTTCTGGTGGTTAGGTTACATCTGTTAGCTTACAGCATCACGAGAGAGAGCCGTCCCTGGAGAAGGACATCATGCTTGGTAAAGTAGTGGGGGTCAAAGAAAAAGAGGAAAACCTTCAACAAGATGGATCTACACAGTGGCTAACTGATGGGCTCAAACATAAAAACAATTGGAGGGTGTCACAGGACTGAGCAGTGTTTTGTTCTGTTTTACATACCAATGCTGAGTGGGAATTGACTGGAGGGCACCTAACAACAACAACAACAGATAGATTGCACTCCCATTGAATTCCTTCTGATCACCTAATCAGGGCTGTGAACAGTATTACCCTGAGATAGAGTGCACAGCAAAGTGGATACCTGTACCGCCCGGGCCAGCCTAGGGAGGGGCAATCTTCCTTAGGGGCTTGGCTGGGTGTGTCCTTGATGGGAACTGCCACAATAGCATCAGGAGTCATACCCTGCCTTGGTCAGGAATCCTGCCCTGATCAATCTCGTAAAATCTTCTAATACAGTGGTTCTCAACATTCCTAATGCTGTGACCCTTTAATACAGTTCCTCATGTTGTGGTGAACCCCCCCAAACCAGGGGTCCTCAAACTTTTTAAACAGGGGCCAGTTCACTGTCCTCAGACCATTGGAGAGCTGGACTATAGTTAAAACAAACAAAACTATGAACAAATTCCTATGCACACTGCACATATCTTATTTTGAAGTAAAAAAACAAAGGGGGCAAAAACACCCGGCGGGATGGATAAATGTCCTTGGCGGGTTGCATGTGGCCTGAGGGCCATAGTTGAGGACCCCTGCCCCAAACCATAAAATTATTTTTGTTGTAACTTTGCTACTGTTATGAATCGTCATGTAAATATCTGATATGCAGGAGGCCATTTTCCACGTGTTTTTTTTTTGAAACCGCCTCCCCTCCCCCATGCCATTTTCGGTTGCAAACTCTCAGTGGTGCCCCCTGCGGCCTTGAATGCTCTCCAGGGATAGCATGTGCTATCTCAGACTGTATTACCCGAAACTTCCCATTTCCTCATGAAAGTCACTTGGACTTACAAAAGTGCTTCTGCCACGTGAATTCCTTTGGCATGAGGAGCAAGAACCCGGAAAATCATCCCCCAGTCCTCCAAACCCAATCAGTGATTGGATCCAGCAATTCCTGTCTCCCAAGCCCGTGTGGGAGATGCTGCTGAATGTCCCAGGCAGAGGCTGGAAGGTTTACCAGTACTCTTACACGGTTGTTACAAGGTTGTTAATGACTTTCTACGCTGTTCCCTTAGGCATTAACAACTTCGTTTATGTTAAAACACAGGAGGAACTAATAGTTGATCTATAATGAGAGAACACGCTGCCCTAGTCTGGTAGCGTAGGGTTGACACCATGGGCTGGTCTTCACAAGGTCCGCACTCGAAACCACCGGTGCCTCCAACAGAGGCGAGGGGTTCACTCCCAGAGTCAAGGCCTCGGACACGCCCGTGAGCAATTCTACCCGGCCCTTTGGGGTACCTGTGAGTCATGAGTTCTTTAGAGTTTTATTCTTACTCGGGGTTTACTACTGAAGACACTGAGGTCAAGATTTTACATAGCTTACGGGGTGAGGATTCCAATGAAGCACTTGCCACAAGCCAGGCCCGATGGCAGGTCCCCCAGAGCCTTCCGCCAAGGGCAGTTGGCAGGCCGAGCGGCAGCCATCTTGGTTGTAGTCCGCAAAACTCCAACTCCCAGCGGCCCTCGCGGCCGCGGGCCTCCGCACAACAAGTCCCGGCGTGCGTCGGGGCGGGGCGGCCTGAGGTGGAGGGTTCTAGAAGGCGTGACGTGGGGCCCGGAGCAGGCTCCGCAGCGGGCGCCTCTCGGCAGTCG